TGAGAGAGTATAATGTGATGGTTATGACCTTGATGTGTTGATGTCATAGCATCTAAGATAGAGTTTTGCTTTTGTTCTGTTACTTTTGACTGATAACTTCAATCATTAGTATAACTGAAAGAGTGGCAGCGACAAGAGAGTGTTCAGATTCTGTCTAAATTCTCTAAATGCTTCATTCAATAGTTTCACTAATTGAATGTGCTCTGTAGTGTAGAAGTAGAATTATTTAATAACTCCCGCGTGGTCTGACTACTATCATCAATTTTGCATCATCAATTTTGTTTTCTAGTTTTTTAGCTGTAGCCAAAAAGAAGATTTGACAGCTTTCCAACAAAATCGAATGGTGATCGACGTACTCTCTCTGATAGCGATTCATCACCAGCTTTATATTGAAGAAAGTCGTTGTTTTGTTCTAACGATGAGACCCGAAATAAGTTGGTTTAGAAATAAGTTGGTTTAGTACCTGACATTGACCAGATTTATACAAACATGAGCAATTCGTTTATTTTGATAATAAGAGGTCAAGTCTTAATAGATGACGAACCGCCACTATGCATTAATGAAATGTACTCCTCCTATGCCTTCAAAATACACTCCTGTATTACTTTTAAACGGAGTGACAATGTATAGGGATGAAACCTTAGGTAGGATTATGGATGTGAACAAAAATGAAATAATTATTTTTGTCGGTGAATTATCCTTCTTCTGTCTTTCATATCAAGCTGTTGTTAAGGGTTTTTACTGCTCCAGGACCAGTTACAATCTATCCAAACACTTTTTGCTGAACTATTGGATGGTACTGGATTGGTCCTTTTATTACTAAGTAATACTTCATCAGTGACATTCGATCCGAATAGAAGAGAAATTTTTGCTGGTTTTTCAAATTCAGGGTCGACTAACTCTATGTTCTTAAGGTGCTCCCATTTGTCTTTATGAACCTGTTTTTCCAAAACGTAAGCCGTTTTCCCAAACCGAAATTGTTATGTTTACACTATTTTTTAGAAAGCTTATTTCTTTTGCACCAATTCCAGTTTTTATGGAATCGGTTTTTATTTATGGAATTTTTATAGAATTATCATGTTCCTCACATGATTGCTGCTGAGACTGTTTGAGCATAAGTTGTGCCTTCTTACAGCTGCTCATTTTTGAGTAATACTCATGTCTTTGAATTTTTGACATGAGTACATTTTGAGCTGCTCTTTTACCTTCATCATGCTGTGGTACATTTGATTGCTACGCTTTTCATGTTTTGTTTTTATTGCCGGGCTCCCCAAAATTTCTACCGCCTGAAACCTTGTTTCCAGGAATTGAAACATAGGTTTCAATTCTGGGATTTTCCTGGGGTTTGATACCTTGTGTTCGTAGAACCTTGAAGTTTCCTTATCTGTTTTTTGAAAGATTAAAAAACCAATTCTAGGGCCCTAGTAGTCAGTTTCAATGTCTAGGTTTTTATAGCACAAGGGCATTCTTTTGTAGTGTCCAACATGTTTCTTATTCATCCGATGTTTCATTATTTAAATGATGTAGAGATAGCAGCTTTTTCACATATGTTGAGAACAGTATTCTTGTATTTTTGTACCTGACTGTTATTAATTTCCATGCAGTAACGTAATTTTCATTAGTTACTATCAGATTTCTTATTAAGTTTATAGGCTTTTTAACAATAGGCTTTTGAGATAGTGAAGTTTTTATACGTTATCCAATTGGCTATTATATAAGCAAATTGGATAGCTTAACAAAGCTAGCCCATGAGTGATACTGAACGTTGGACGTTGGTATGTTAATTTCTGGTAGTTTAACCTGGTTTTCTTGTGACTCACCAAATTTAATTTACTTCTGCGCATGCTCCCTTATTCTTGCAACGATTTCCTGACGTTTCTCTTCCACTTTTTCGAAATGCTCATCTTTTAGGTATTCTGATTCAACTTCATTTGCTGCAAGGGAAATGATGTCATCATTTGTTCTAATGATATCTTTCCAATATGTGGTCAATGTTTCAAGATATTAACAAAGTAACAGAGTCCTTTTGTTATATGCATTCGCCTACTTTATTCGTCACCAACTTGGTAAAACATTTGTATTTTATTATGGTGCTTTTCGTAACACTACTGTTCCTCTATATCTAACAAATGATCAGAGTTTAACTCAGCTTCTTCATTATTGTTCTGTTCTAAATCACCGTCCGTCTCATAGTCTTCGTCAGCTTTCTTTTTAATTTTAGAGCCTTTGAGTTGGTTTGCGCTTTGAGCTGGTACCATGCTTCAGCTTGTTGTGGTATTCAGTTTTGAAATATGCGTGATCAGTGTTCGCACTCCAAAACTGTTTTGCTATTAAGTTCTTGATGTTAAACTGTTTCCATAGTTTGTTGAGTTTATATACTCCAGCGGGTAAATATTCTGCTGTTCTTCTTGAAGCTGGATCTTTCTTAAAGTTAATTAGTAACATCTCCATGTCTTCTATAACTTCTTCTGTTTGGCAGCAGTTTCAGTCAGATTTAAATTTTGTGACCCTTTTTTGCATTTTTTGGTGGAACAATTTCTTGTTGCTTGGTTTGAAGTTAATTAATTTATTTATTAAAAATCTTACCTATTTTTACAAAAATTATGCTACTCAAAATTAATTATTTTTTAAAATTATACTACTGAAAATTAATTCCCACAGAAATAGATTAGTAAGCGATTTTGTGAATTTATAAAATTCATGTTTCCCATGTCAACTTATCTTATAGGTTTCAGTTTTACTTAAAGTAAAAGTAACAAACTGATCTTAAACGTAAATCTATCTGTTGTAGGTTTCCAAATTAACACTCACATTTTCAAATACTGAACCGCTTGTTCAAATACTTTTTTTTTTCACGATCTTCTGGACATATATCTGACACTATCCTTTCATTATTTGAACCCCATTTATGCATCTTAAATTTTCCTAGCCGTAGCAAGTCGATTAAATCATTCAATTGCTTCTTTTAATGAATCTTAACGTGTTATAATATTGTCGACGTAAAAGTTATTGATAACCTTTACTGCTAGTAGATATTTAATTTTTTCTTCGTCAGGTAAATGATTGATACGTTTTGTTGCTAAACATGGTACTGCCTTTGTGCCACATGTAACAATGGATAATTTAAAATATTTAATGTTTTCTTCAGTATTGGATTGCCATAGAATTAATTAAAAGTATTAGTTTCCATTGGTTATTTTAATTTGACGATACAATTGCCTAAAGTCTGCAGTCATAACATATTTATACATTCGCAATCTAATCAGAGTGTTAAGTAATTTGTCTTGTACTCTTGGCCCCTTAAGCATTAAACCGTTGAATGATAAATTTGTTGATGAAGTTTTAGAAAATGAAGTTTTGCAAGAGGCATCGAAAACCATTTTTAATTCTGTCGAACTACTTTCTGGTTTTAAAATGCCATGACAGGGCAGAAAATAGTGTGTTTTTAGAATTTTATATGTTGTTCTTTAAATTTCTTGTTTTTGAGAAGTGTATTCTCTAAATTTATAAACCTGTTTAGGGCTATATTAAATATTCCCAATGATCCAGTGACAACATTTGGAAGATTCTGCTCTAATTTTGGAAAAATTCCTTACATTTCTTGGGTCATTACTCCAGTCCTTATAAATTCAGCAAACATTTCTGCTCTAGAATTATATCCACTTTCTAAGGCTTGTTAAAATAAGGATAAGGAAAAATTTCCTCCAATCCGGATCATGCAACAAGATGTTTACAATGGCATGTTTTACAACCTCTTGAAGAACATATTTTAACCGTGTGCACTTTCCCTAAGCATTTAAAGCATAATTGTCACTTTTTTACTTCTTCTTTACGCTCAGTGTAATGTCCTGTTGCAGCCCTTATTCTTTCATCGTTCTTTTCAAAAGACACTCATATCTTTGGAATTTCTTAATCCAGTGTACCAGTATTCGTATTATGACTTGATCGATGCTAACCTAGTTCTAGTTGCTTCAATGATTGTTCATCCAAACTTTTTATCTTGTGTACTTTTGACTTTTCAACAATTCATCGTAGAGTGTTTCAATATTCAATATAAAGCGGAATCATGTCGGATTACGAAATATATATGCTGTCACTTGCCTTTTATGGTTGAGGTTTATCGTACTCCAAAGTTTATCTTAACCTGAAAATTTGTTTAGTTGTTTTATGTTTTAATAGGATTAATACACAGGGCGATCTCCGATAGAAAGTAGTACAATGTGTATAAAACTTATTATCTATTTGAGTCTTGGCAATATAAAATGAAACGCTGTAGTTGAATGTTTATGACTTTACATATAATACAAAATTTTATGACATTATGAAAGATATTTTTTCAAATAATTTATATTCACAGCTTACATTGAAAACACGCAATTTAATGAATAAAGTAAAAAAATTATTTTAATAGACCATTCTTAGAGTTACTTCGTCTTTTTTAAAAACAAATTTTGCATTGTATTATAAAATAATATGAACCATTTTTGTTGAACTTAAACTCAAGAAATTAACCGCAAATTGGTAAAATAATTGTTATTACAACATCGGAAGATTGTAATCGACTTACATAACTTCATAGAATAATTTTAACAAGAATGTTCTAGTCTGGATATGGAACATCTTTTATTTTTTAATAATATTTTTAATAATTTGATGCAATTGACAAATTATTCATTAAATTAATTATGAAATTATGAAATACAAAATTGTTATAATAAGTATAATAAAGTAACTTTACTTTATGGTCTTGCGAATTTGATTTTCTTCAATAAGAAATCGTTTTATTTTCTTCATTTGAAAAACCCAAAAATTTTATTAAAGTGAATTACTTGAAAATTTAAGTTGCGTTGCACCGTACTATAAAAAACAAATATATTTTATATAGCAAACAGCATTCATAACTCAAAACATAATATTTTTTAATTAACTATGTTATAAATTGCAAAACATTTTCAAACGACGTCAACTATAGAATGAATATTTTTTATACATTTATTAAGGTTGTTCAAGAATATGAAAGAGCAGTAATATTTAGGTTAGGACGACTAATGCAAGGTGGAGCTAAGGGCCCTGGTAATTAAATCTGTTTTACATAAAATATTTTACATTTAATATAAATAATATTTTCAGGTATTTTTTTTATTTTACCTTGTATTGATGCATATGCAAGAGTAGATTTAAGGACACGAACGTATGACGTTCCACCGCAAGAGGTATTTTGGACATAGTCCAAATTATATTTTATTAAGATTTTTGAATTATATATAAAGTAGTAACAATATACTTTGAAAGTAAGAAAGGACAAGTAAACTGAAAATAAAAAAAGATTTGTCTAAAAATTCCTTTTACATAAATTTACGGTATTATATGAATTACGGCATATTAACTGGGCTAATCAAATCTCACAATTCAAATTGGGTATGAATATTTTTTTAATAGTTCCTACATTAAATAAAAATTTTTTAAAGAGCTTTTGCCTTTTAGTGTCTTACGATGAACCCAAAATTTCAAAATCGACCAAAAAAGTTGTTTTATGAAGTTGCTAGGATTCGATGTGTCAGATGATGTAGCTTCAAGTATATGATCTTGGACTTTTTTGTGTTTTTCAGTTTTCTTATAAACCAAAGTACTTTCTTCGCTTCTTAATTGATACTTTAAAGTTTTAATAAAAAGAAGGTGTTTTTGATAATGGAATATGCATTTCTAACTTGGACCTTAAATTATCAAACACATTTCTTTGACACCACGTGCAGTACTTCATTGTGAAATATAGGAATTAGAAAAAAAAAACAATATTCGTCGACCCTTTGTTCAAGAACAGTTTTCTTCACTCTTTCATCCTCCCAGTCTTGAATTGTATTCCTCTTGCTTCGAAGTCTTTCAATATTTTCTTTTACTAGTTTCATTTAATTTTTCAGTAGAACTGTTGCTAAGCTTTCAGTCCAGTTTTCTTTAAACAACTGTATCATTTAAAGTTTCTTGGAACTTTGAGAAGTTTTTGAATTTGCTCAAACTAGTTTATTTCCAAATTTCAAATTTTTATTTCTAAATTTAAAATGACTTCCTTTGTTAGAGATAATTAGATATGCAGTGCTAAATGTTGCAATCTAATTAAAATAAAATACCCTACCTGCTATTTCTGCAGTTATATTTGGTAATGGTAGCACTTACAAATAGCAAAAACTTCAAAATTTGCTAACGGTTCAATAAAATCAATATGTACCATTGAAAGCCTTTTATCTGCATTTGCAAAATTCTGAACTTCTGTGTGTCATGTAGTTTTACCTAATAAATCAATCAATATTTAAAATTTTAATAAAAATTATTAGAACTTAAAAATTTTCTGAAATCTCCATACATATGTAAGCTATAGATAAGTTGTATCAAAACAAATGTTTAGAAAAAAAAAAAACAAATTCAAAATTGAAATAGGAGTTCCTTAAGAAGGTATCTATGTATATCATTGTTTTGAACAATCTAATTAACTTCAAAATTTTCCAGTCTAATGTCTTAATTAAATATTTTATTATATTGTACCTTTTCGCTATAATATTATTCTACTTAAATAAAAATTTTAAGAGTTACAGCCTTGACGTAACAAAAATATCAAGGTTTGGACCCTTTTTGTATGGCTTACAATTGCAAATGTATTTCTAGAAAAATGACGTTTCTGAATCACCTTTTTATACCCTGCACTTCGTGAAGGATATATTAACTTTGGTATGGAGTTTGTAACTACTTGAAGGAGTCATCTGCGATATGGACATATATATATATTCTTGCTCAGCGTAAAATTTTGCGTCGATTTAGACATGTCCGTCCGTTCGTCCGTCCGTCCGTCCGATCGCACGATAACTAAAAACGAATAATGCAATTGACACCACACTTTCACAAATTTTTTCTTTTGTGCCAAGGACGAACCCTATTGTTATTGGACTAATCCGGACAACGGGTTCGGGTGGCTGCCATACAACTCCAACAGCAAATTTTTTATATTCGGCAAAATAATAAAGTCAGATTCATGAAACTTGGCAGTTGTGTGTCGAGTTATAGGTCAGATATATTTCTGAAGTTTTGGTGTAATTGCTTGACAGGTTCGAGTAGCTCCCATACATAATAAAAGCTTATTTTAAATATTTGGAAAAATAATAAAGTCAGTTTCATGAGATTTGGCAGTCGTGTGTCCAATTATAGGTCAGACATATTTCTAAAGTTTTGGTGGGATTGCTTGACCGGTTCGAGTAGCTCCCATACAAGTCTAAAAGCTTATTCTTAATATTTGGAAAAATAATAAAGTCAGATTCATGAAACTTGGCAGTTGTGTGTCCGATTATAGATCAGATATTTTTGTGCAGTTTTAGTGGAATTGCTTGACAGGTTCGGGTACTTGCCAAACAACTCCAAAAGGTTATTTTAAATATTTGGAAAAATAATAAAGTCAGATTCATGAAACTTGGCAGTTGTACGTCGAGTTATAGGTCAGATATATTTCTGAAGTTTTGGTGGAATTGCTTGACAGGTTCGACTAGACCCCTTCCAAATCTAAAAGCTTATTCTTAATAATTGGAAAAATAATAAAGTCAGATTCATGAAACTTGGTAGTTGTGTGTCCGATTATAGATAAGATATATTTGTGAAGTTTTGATGAAATTGTTTGGCAGGTTCAGTTACTTGTCATACAACTCCAAAAGCTAATTTTAAATATTTGGAAAAATTATAAAGTCAGATTCATGAAACTTGGCAGGTGGATGTCCAATTATAGGTCAGACATATCCGTGAAGTTCCTATAGAATGATTTCACAGGTTCGAGTTATTGCTACACAATAACGAAAGGTGCAGGGTATAATTCAATCGGTTTATACCGACTGAAACGTTTGTACTTGTTTTTCTTTTTGTTCAGAAAAAATTATGATTTTTGCCTATTATCATTTCGAGTTTTGTGGGAAAGGAATTCACTAAAACATACAGTTTTTATATTAAAATTAAATTTGGAGTTTTGTAAGCAAATCAAATTTCATCTCGAAATTTTAACTATAATTTTGATTAAATATATACGAGTTTTTTCCGCATGTTTTAGAACCACCACATCAAGAAACATATCAGAGGAATGAGAGCAAAATATGACAATACCCTAAATAAAAACAAAAATTTGATGTTACATCTTTTAGACTAGAATACACGATTTAATTTAAAATGCAATGCGGTCACTCTGCTCCATTCCAGGCACGCCTCCTAGCTCTTACCCATCTTTACCACATCTTGAACATCTAACGCGTTTCTTATTTCTGCGCTCGGAACTCTATGTGCTTGTTTTTCCATATAATGTCGCTTAGACAACCACTGACTCTTGCTGCTTTGTTTATTTGTTGCATATTTTCTTTTTTTCGGTTTTGGCAAGCAGACCCCTAAATACTTAAACGACATTACTTGCTCTATTATTTTGTCGTTAACCGCCAATTTACATCTTAAAGTTTTTCTTCTTTTCTTTTCTTCTTTTGCAATTACTAGAGACTTTGTTTTTGCTACCGAAATTTCCATGTTTAATTTTGAAGATGTAATATAAAACTGGTGTAGCAATTTTTGCAGCCCGTCTTCATTTTCGGATATTAGCACGGCATCATCTGCGTAGCATATATTTTTCACTTCAGATATTATTTTTTCCATTATTAAGTTGAAGAGAAATGGACTCAAAGAATCGCCTTGCCTTATTCCTGATGATATTTGAATTTCGTTTGATTTGATGTTGTTCGTTAATATATATGTGGAGGTGTTTCTGTTCAAGGTTTCGATAATTTTAATTATTTCGAGTGGGATGTTTTTCGCTGTCAATATCTCGATTATATCATTGAGTTGGACGCGGTCGAAAGCTTTAGTTAAATCCACGAAGCACATAAATGCCGGTTTCTCAAATTCTATTGATTTTTCTACTACTTGTCGCACCACAAAAATTGCGTCTATCGTAGATCTGTTTTTTCGAAATCCTTGCTGTTCTTCACACATAATAATTTTTTCTGATAGGAGATTCTGGAGAATTTTTGTGAAGAGCTTCATTACCGCACTTAGAAGAGTTATCCCCCTTTTTGAAAACAGGTATTGTGAGGCTCTTCCTTCAGTCAGTTGGAATTGTTCCGCTGGTAAAGGTTTTTTGGAACAATAATGCCAATTGATGATGAAGACCTTTGCCCCCGTATTTTATTAGCTCATTTGGTATTTCATCATATCCGGCTGCCTTTCGATTTTTCAAACTTTTTACAGCGTTCTCTACAAGTTCTATGCTAATAAAAGTACTTATTACTTCTGGCAAAAGTGTTTCTGCTTCACGGTCTTCCCTATTTTCATACAACTTTCTAAAGTGATTTTCCCAGTCTTGAATAGATATAGTATTTGTTTGCACATATTCATTTACCTCCTTTTTCCTTCGTCGAAGCATTCCCCACACTTTTTTTTGGGCACTATACAAATCTCTTTCGATGTCTGCAGTAAACGCTTCCCAGTGTTCTTTTTTTATTCTGCGTATGTTGGAATTTACGCGGTTTCTCACAGATTTGTATTCTCTGTATGCTTCGGGCGATCTCTTACTTAGGTATTTTATGTAACTTTCGCGTTTTTCTGTTGCTAGCTCTTTTACTTCTGCAGTAAACCATGGCGTATTTGTTTTGTTTGCATTTTTATTTATCTTTCTTTTGCCCAACGCTTCGTTTGCTGCATTTTCTATGTTTTCTTTAACCTTTTTCCAAGCAGTTTCAACATCCTCTTCTAATTGTATCTGATTTAATCTTATTTTTTCTGCTAATCTGTTTTTGTATAGGTTTTTTACAGATTCTGTTTTCAAAGACTCTATGTTCAGTTTTTCAACGTACACGGGTGGGGGCCTTTTTTTTGATTGCACGTTAAGTCTTATCTTTGCAAGGACTAGCTGATGATCAGATCCTATGTTTGCTGAGGATAAAGAACGCACGTCTAGTATTTGAGTTGGGTGAACAGCTCTATTTGTTATTAAATAATCTATTGTAGATGTAGCTCCTCTTGTGTTTAACTAGGTTATTTTATGTTGTATTTTATGATCGAAATAGGTGTTGTTGATTCTCAATTCGTTTTGTGCGCAAAAATTTATTAATTTTTGTCCGTTTTCGTTAATATGTGATTCGTTAAATCGGTTCTTTACTCCATTTATTTCTGTATTTCCGACTCGGGCGTTCATGTCTCCCAAAAT